AAAGAGTGTGAGTTAGACATTTATTCTTTTATGAACCCAACTGAGAACAGACACACACAATCATGCACATACACACAGTCAGACAAACAAAATAGAGAGAGAATGCAAATCAGAGAGGGATGACCGCATAAAGGTTAAGAGGCCTTTAGTGACTGGTGAAGTATGATGCTGCAGGAAACCTGAGCAAGGAGGAAAAATAACTTAATAAATAAAAACATTTGAAAGAAGAGAAGAGAGGAGAAGAGAAGAAAAGAGAAGAGAAGAGAAGAGAAGAGAAGAGAAGAGAAATTAATTGTTTCTATGCAGTCATCAATACCAACACTGCCCTAAGCCAAGAGAAATCAGTTTGAGAGATAGGAAACTACACATCTGCTATATTAAGGTTATTTGTACTAAAAGGGTGCTCTTTGAGTATGTGTGTGTGTGTGTGTGAGAGAGAGAGAGAGAGACAAAGAGATGGAACCAGAGAAATTGAGCAAAGAAAGTAAAAGTTCAGCTGGAGGGGATGCTTGATATCAGATACAAGGGGATCCATCTGGATGAAGCCAAACTGAAACAATTTATTGCAAAGCATGCAGTAGATCAGTGACATCAAAACAATTATACTACCTTAACTACTGGGTTGATTTGTGTATTTTAAATGTACCCAGTATACATAAAACATTTCTAATCTCTTTACCCCACTATCAGCTCAGAATACACAGTGCATCTTATAATTCCATCATAGTTATTGAACACTCTCTGGCCAATGTCAAGCATTTTTATGGCTATGGGAAGAGTCAGAGAGAGACAGAAAGGTAGACAGAAGGGAGAAGGAGCAGAAATATATGTACACCTTCTGCTAAGACACAACCTCCCCTGATTTCCCCTGATGAGGTAGGTTACAGGGCATGACAGGAGGGTTATGTGTGTGTTTCTCTGTGTGCATGTTTGTGGCTTTCAACACCCCATGATTTGACTGTGTTCTTAAAGAAAAAGCAAGAGAGAAAGAGGGGGTCTAAAATAGAAATAGAAACTTTGATGTGCTGTCCAACCAACCATAAAGGACAAACTTTTTTTTACAGGAAGCACCCTGGGAATGGAGAGAGAGAGAACTGGCTTCACAAAGATAAATAGTACCAAAGAGAGAGAAGAACTGGGGGCTAATGGTCTGCAATATACTGACATTATTAGTTATCTAAAGTGGCAGCCATGGTTGAATTCACCATTATACAACTAAGCTCTATAAGTAATACGGTGGCAACCATCCTGCATCTGCCTTAATGCTGCAGCTGTGTGCAGCTATTCCCCATTAGCACCACAGTGATAGCAAAGGCAGAAGTTCTTTATCTTTCATCTGGTGATTCCACATTGTTAGGCAAAACTTGCTCCTGGCTGGAACCCTATTTCCTGCCTGGAAATATTTGCTTACTGAATATTCAATCAAAAGCCAGGTGGTGAAAGTAAAATGGGGCTTGCCAATTTTAGTGTCAACACTTTGTCCTTGAGTTACAAATTTGAATCAGAGTCTCATTTTCAGTATATTTTGTGAGCGGTTTTTAAGTCTTTTATCAGACCATCGCTTTTAAATCACATTGCATCAATCCTATTACATTTCATGCTTTATTTTCAGTGTTTCCAATAAATTATAAAGTACTGTACCTTCCTTTTAAGTTACCTTATTTTATCAGTGATTCTAACAAATTCTGAACACACATACAGACTTCTGAACCTTTCTCCCATCCAGATAAAGTATTCCTGTTGTGTGTTATTTGTTACTCCCTTTCCATTTTTCAGCAGTGAAATGAATGATCCATGGCACTATTCAGTATTCTACTGTGAGACCCCATAATGATGGCTCCTTTGGGATTCAAAGGGAGATGGAAAAGACTGTTGAGAGGCATTTCGGTCTGAGAGTTAAAAATGAAAACTCACATTCACAACAGTGCACTGAGAGAAGCACAGAGACTCAGAAAGTGCCACTATATATGTCAGCACCTATAGTATATAAGCCTGCACGCTTGTGTTTTTGTGTGTGTATGCGACTCAGAAAGTGAAAGAGCTCTTGACAGGTCTGTGGCATGTCAAAATGTTAAATTAAATGTGTGGTGGTGTAAAGTTTCTGCTTAGAGCAGCCTAACACATGGCTTTCAATATGACATTTCATGATCTTTATATGTGTGTGTGTGTGTCTGTGTGTATGTATGTAGAAGCTGACTTACAGGTCTGTGGTGTGTTCGGGGATGTGTGGGGGTATACGAGCAAGTTTGAGATTGGAACAATCGACCACAGTGCCTTCGCAGCGACATTTCTCTGGACACACCAGGTCTTGAAAACACTCCCCACTTAGTCGGCTACGATAATCTTCCTGACCTGCAGGGGAAAGAGGGAGGGGAAGACCAAAAGAGAGAGAAAGTAACATAAGAGAGACAGAAAAATGGGAGGGAGGATAGACAGAAGGATAGACAGTGGGTAGAAAGGGAAAAGGAAGCAGTAAAGCCAGGTGAATCAAGGCCACAAGGGAGTAGGAGAGAGAAAGCAGAAGGAAAAAAGAAGAAAGATCACAGAGACACAAAATTTTCAATGTTAGACTTATAATAGCATAAAATGAAGGACAATGCATTATTCCAACAACTATCCAGGCAATAGTAAAAGGATGCATGCATATGCAGATGTTACTATGTCACAAGTTTGGCTTCCACTGCCAAGCTATCAATATTTGACTAAACTATTTCCTGCTGGGGTTTAATTGTTTGGAAAACCCTAACATAATTAGCCAACCAGTCAATTGCAAGACATGAATGAGCAATTTCAAAATTATGGTATCTACTACATCTATTAAAAAGAGCAGGCTGCAGTGGCTCCTGCAGTACTGTACTGTAGGGTAGGCATGGGCCTGATGCAGGGAGGGGTAATTCTGCATGGCTACAGCTGTATATCAAATTAACAAACAGATACCCAGGTGGTTTTATGAAATCATTTTGTTGATAAATGTGGTTTAACCTAGGATGTTTTCGTTAACAAGGAGAGCCAGAGACCACGACTGTTATTTAGATATAATGTGAGCAGATGCTTTATTACCACAATGGCTGGTGGCTGCTTTACATCAGGCAGCACAAACACTCTTTACTGTTCTCATGGTTATCATTAACTCACTCTCTCTCTCTTCCTCTCTCTCTCTCTTTCCAACTTTGTTGTCTGTCTGTTCTCTGTCAATATAACCTTTTCTGGTTTTCACCACTCTCCTATTAGACATTGGCACAGACTATTTGTTCTTCCATCCTCTGTCTCCGCTCTCTCCTCGCACACACCTTTTATGGCTCATGTTTGTCATTTGTAAACAACTAAAACTACCTATTGAAAAGTTATTTTTCAATGAAAAACCATGGTAAATGATCACTGCTCTTCAATTGATGTATCTTTTATGAGATGAGAATAGATCCTTTCAGTGGCAAAGTGTGTTGGAATAATGTGTCTGCACTGCCACAAACCTTGTTGGTTGGCAAGTTGACAGAAAGAAAAGAGGAAAGGAGAACATAAGGAATAAAGGAGAGGGGGTAAACAACAAAGCAAAAATAGCTGGTGGATTTTATAACCTTTGCAAGAAAAGTGATTGGAGTTTTTTTTTCTTTTTCTGCTTTCCTCAGTAGGAGCAGAAAAGGGTGAAGGGATGTGAAGTGAGGTAGTGGAATCAGCCATGCTAACCACTGAAGCACCGGACAAAACCCTACAAAAAGATGTCAATACTTTCCAAAGCAAGCCACGCAAGAGGAAAAGTAGGAGCATCTGTAGAAAGAAGATGTGTAGAGTACAAATTTATGATGACAGCTGAGCAATCCAGGTGAATGTAGATGCTTTTAACCATTTAAAGGCACCCTGTGGAGGCTTTCACCCATTAGTAGTGCTAGGGGGTGAAATTTTAACATGTGGCTCTTTGTTTTGTTTGTATTGTGCATGTATACATGCAAGTGCATGGGTAATGCAGTATACATCTCTGCTGCCAGGTTCAAGTGTATTCTACAGATGAATGGTTGGCAGCGATGTGCAAAGAAACAAAATAATGTACTAACAAAAGACAGAAGAACACTGAGCTAGCAGGCAGGGGTTGTAAACAGTGCTAGATTAAAAATATAAAACCTTTGAATTTTCAAATATTTTATGAAGAAGGACACGCCTTTGACCCATTTGTTAGACCCCAAGGTTACACACAACGAATCTTGGTGAGAAACATTGAATGTAGACAACTTTTGTTTGGTTGTTGACAGTAAAACTCCACAAGACACCTTTAAATTGCCCCAGTAGTAGAACAGCAGTTAGATTTAAGATACTCAACACTAAGTGACACTATATTTTGATATTAGATTGTCTGTATATGGCTCATTTACTTCAACCACTGTTATGGTCCCATGTATCAGAAGCTCTACCTATAAATGTAAACAGACAGAGGTAAAACATTTAGCTCTCAATTTTTGCTCCAGGTGTGTGATTGGCTGGAAGAGGCAGGTGGGTATGTGCTTGGCGGTCCCTGGCGCTTGACGGAACCATGTGATGTCACAATAGGCGGGGCCACATGGTTAGATCAAGCACAAGAGACAGCTGCACGAACCAATCAGAATGCAGGTCCACACAGGAGGAAGGTGGGGCAACAGAGAGCTGCACCAATCAGTTAGGGGGCAGGGTCCATACAGAAAAGAAGAGGCAACAGACAGCTGGAGATCCACACAGGAAGGGGGCAAAATCAGAGGACTGCCCACCGATAGCAAAAATGCCCACATACAGTAGATCCAGAGAGAAAGAGGAGATGCATGGAGAAGCATGGGACTGCAGAGAGGACAAAGAGGACTGAAGCAAAGAGGACAGCCAGAACCAGCTTGAGGAGCATTTGTAATCTAGCTATCTAGATTAGCTCCATGGGCAGAGCACTAGCATAAGGGGTTTTCTTATCGCTGAGACCCTCGATGCTAAAAATGTATCACATGTGCTTATAATACTATAAAACACTTTGGATAAAAGCCTCTACCATTTAATCGTATTGGATATGCTATTACTGGCACCCAATAGCTGGGCTGCCACGTCACTGTGTTGCTGTAGCACGAACTGCAGATGGAAGGCAGGAAGTGGTTTTCTACATAGGCAGTACTATCACAAGCTGTTGAAATGCCTAAAGTTTGTGTCTTTTACAGTTGATCAAATCAATCACACCGACAAAGCAGATGAAGCTTTTATTGAGTACCAGAAGTAGGTGTTCATAAGGAAGGAAAGTGCAAGAAATTGACCATAAAATGCTGGTATTGTGTCAAAGTGATTTCCCCTGCCCAGATGTGTCGCCCCTGTTAAACACCGTTTCCCTTAGCGCCCCCATCAGTTTAGATGCTCCCCTTCTATGTTGCTATCTAGTTTGTAAAATGTCTGTGAAGAGATTTTAAAAATTCTCCAGTGAGCCATATAAAGACAGAATATTTATAATAGGGAAAACAGCATAAAGAGCCACTGAAGATGTAAAGCATATACAGTACAGTCAGACACACAAACAGGCATGATTTCATACACTCACACAAGTGGGCGATCACAGTTTATGGCCGGTCCCATGCTGAGTTACTTATTGTGCTTCAGTAGACTGAATCGGTTTGTGCTGTAATTAGTAAGACCCATGGCTCATATCAAAGGAAATAGCAGTACAGTAATCCAGTACTACCTCAGAGACTGAATGTCAAGGCCTGTGTATATGCTTTAAGCAAAGCATATTAATTTCTGTATAATTTTACATACAGTAGATAAGCCTACTATGTGTGCCTGTTATGTTTTACCTTTTACCTTGACATTTTACCACCAACTGGATCAGTATGAGTCTTTGTTGACCCTCAGATGTGACTCCCTGTATATTTGCATGTGTTTGTATGTGCGCGTTTAGGTGTGTCTGAGTGGACTCATCCCCTACCTGTGCACCTGAACTTCTTGCCTTTAACCTGGCTGATTCGTTTGTTAGCAAGCCGTCTGGGATGGCTGCAGCGTGCTCCACTGGTCTCAATGGGGTTGTCAAACAGGTAGTCAGCCAGCCACTTCAGGTGACAGTCACACATAAAGGGATTCTGGGCCAGATGACTGAGAGGTAAAGAAGGGCAGGAACAGCAGAAAACGGGTTTGATGTAGGAATGAGAACAAAAGAGAACCGCACAGTGAGTACAGCTGCCTGAGTTGTCATGTGTTCAAGGAATGTTTTCTAACTTTTTATGGCTCTTATTGCTGGCTGATAAAAAATATTCCACAACTCAACAACATTTTTACTTTTGCTGGTCTAAACTGCAGGTGTCTGCTACACCTTTTTAAGGAAAGATTTTCTAAAACAGAACTGAACAGTTGTCATTAGCACTGATGTCTTCACTGATTAACCAAAGAAAAGAAAAAGCAGCACATATAAAACACATAAAAAGATAAAGACAAACATACAAGCCACACTGTTTAATTAATAAACAATCTAAACGTTAAGATAATGAAGGGCTAGTCCCAAGTATTTAATCCCCTTTCCTTCCATTAGACAAAATCAATCGAGGCTCTCAGCATTAAATAAAAATGTACTAATACAATGTACTTACAGCGTCTTGATTGAACGCAGAGGGGTGAACAGCCCTTTGCTGATGGTTTGTAGCTTGTTGTCGTAAAGTGAAAGCAGGTTGAGATTTTGTAGATCTTGGAAGGTGTTGACTCTCAAACAGTTAATTTTGTTGGCATTGAGCAGCCTGGAACACAAGAAGGGCCAGTCAGTATTTGTTATTGACCTGTACTTGTTTGATTTATTTGGCTTTATTATCTCTGTGAACTCCATAAACAAAACATAAGCACGTATGCAGATAACAAGATTGAAAATATTGCGGTCAGATGCTGCACTACTTTTCTCCTTTGCCCTCGTCACTCTTTCTTTCTCTGTCCCTCACCTCCTCCTCCTGTGCCTCTCCTCCCCCCCTCATGATTATATTTTTTCTGGGCAGGACATATAAATATGAAAATTGCAGTTTTATAAATTTGCACTTTCTGTTCTGGAGCAGGAAGAGGACTGCTGGGTGGGTGATGGTAATATCTTGTTTTGATGGTAGATACAGATGATGAGGGTGGGATGGAGGGAATAATGGAGTGAGGCAGAGAACAAACAGGTGAAAATTTAATTTGAAGTGACAAATAGATTTAAACGAAAGAGACTGACAGTCAAAATGGAGGAGAGAGAGACATGGAAATGAGAAATGTGATACAGGGATTAGGTACATGACAGGAAGTGTTTGTACCTCCACCCCCACCCCCCATCCCCCATCCCTTCAAATTTAGGTGACTTACTTAGTTCTTTGTACCTTAATTCATTTCAAGTCAACCCAATGAGTGCCTATACCTGTACAACCCATTCATACATACACACACTTACATCCACTCATGGGCAGATACATGCACACACATGCTGCTCTGCAACATATCCATGCCTCATTAGGCAGTTCACAGGGGGGAACTAATTACTTGAAACTGCACCAGTAAAACAAAGAGCACAGACAATATAAACAGCAGGCTGGTAGCAATACAAAGCAATAAATACATCTTTGTCACTGAAGGTTGACATGCTGCTTGATTCAGCAGTGAGAGCTAATATATAATTTATAATTATTACGCCATATGGGAGGACAACTAATTCCTGACACCCTGGCCAAGTTTTTGGAGATGGGAGGTTTTCATCTGTCAGTGACAAAATATTAAAATATATTGCCTCCTTATGCTGCTGCTGAGCGAGCGCCAACACCCACAGGCAATGATGGCTATGTGGGATTGACCAATACTGTGGCAAGGCTTGAATATTAAGCAGTCATTCACTACTTTACATATTCATTGATCGAAGCAGCCACAAATGCATAGAAACCATATTGAATGATCCTAAGTAAGGGACCACACATGGATGTAGAAACAAATATAAAACATTCAGTGATTTTCTGTTGAACATTTTATGGCTACAGCATCATGACAGGGTCTGAGGAAATTGCTTTTCCAGTTAGGAGCTACTAAATGTTAATGATGTCACATCAGACATACTTGGACACCGCTCTCTCTTTTCTAATATATTCTCCATTTATTCTTTATATTTCTTCATATCTGTCTTATTCCTTATGCTTGTCTTTTCCATCTCTCCCTCTTCATCCACCCATCTATAAATTTATCTATCCATCCACCCTCCCTCCATAAACCCCCATCCTCTGTGTGTGACTATGCACCATGCATCCCAATAACCCACCTAAGGTGTTTGTGGGCTAGATTCACTCATCCTCATTCTCTTTGCTTCACTTCCCTTTATGATGGAACAGGCCAGAACATTAACTGTTTCTACAGTGGGCTGCAGCATTTGTATGAACCATATGCCACATACAGTACTGATGTAGCTGTTAGAGGAGACAGAATTTTACCTGCATCCTGAATCACTGCCGCAGATTGAAGCTGTGCCCTTCAGTAATTACTCAGAATTAATTATGAAGTATGGGGATCACTGTTTTTATTACAATAGTCCAGTTTGGTTCATGCTGATCAATTCAGAACAACTGTTTTGCAGGGACACACACACACATGATACAGGACAGATGGAAGGTTAATGCATGGTGGGGAGATTCTACTACTACTGTGCTATATAATAATGATTACAAGATCTGGTCTTGTGATTGTGGGTGAAATTCCTGAAATGAACTAGTCCACATGAAATCCCCACCATATACTGAAGCACCAAACATCTATATAACATTAGACCGGGCTGCGATCATAGCCTTGCTTCCACTGGAACTAATATAGTAGTGTCAGATGAAGGACACTGGTATTTTTTTTAATGTTACCAATTAACATTTGATAAAACATGAGTAAATATAGCATTTTTCCTTTTTTATTTTCCTATTTACTGAATAATGTACTTCATTGTTTTCTGGAGGAATCACATATACACAGGGCCACACCCAACAACAGACCACACAGACAGCACTTACAGTAGCTGCAGGGAAATCAGTCCATCAAACAGTCCCTTAGGCAACTCAGTGATCTTGTTGCCGTACAGCACCCTGTGCAGGACAGTCAAAACAACATCATTTAGGTTACAGTGTTTACAAGGATTTCCTTATGTGATCTGAAGCTGGCTGCAAAGCAACACATTTTTTCTAGTCATCAAAATAAAATAAGAATGTAAGCTTTCATTTGATACTGTTGAGGAATGTGGACATGGCAGAAGGCGAGTGAGTAGTTTGTGCAGTACTATTTTTTGTTCAGTTTTGATGATGCAGTTGTGAAGATATAACATGAATCCATTTACATTTGGCCTCTCCAAGCTTTCACTGCCACCCTGAATCATATTCACTGCCATTTAATGTTGCAAAACAACTGCCACATGAAGATGTCACAGCTAAAAGTCGCTTGTAAATCAAGAGGAAATAATTCTTTAATCACTCTCCTGTACTGTATCTCCAAAATGCAAACTTCTTACTAATTACAATTTTTAAAGCTGTGACAATGAATTTTAACAATTCAAAAATACTTGTTTTTCACTGGTCAGTGGTGTTTTAATACAAACCCATTTACTGTAAACACTGAGTCCCTTTATTGTTACTGTATATTGCTGCCCAAACAAACTTCTGCATAAATCCACTAATATTCAGCTCTCCAAAACCAGGGAAGACCCTTGATATATCATCCTGAAACAAAAGAGGCATCACACTCACCCAGCTGGAAAAACTATTTTAGTGAGCAGAAATGAACCAGTGCTGCAATCACAGAGAAAAAGTTGACTGTTTCCAGTGAGTGCAAGGAAATGTTTTACTTTTATTTGATCAAATTATATTTAAAAAAAGTACACAGCACAAGCTTTTCTCACTAAGTGCATTAATTTGCATTTGTCTCACTTGATTGTAAAAATCTGAAATTGTGTTTCAGATGTGCTTCCAGTTACAGTTGTAACCACTTAATTCACTGGAGCAATTTCATATTTTGCTGGCCTCTGTTGCAGAAGTCACACCCTCAGTTACAAGTGGCTTGACTGCAGAGATGTGTGTGTGTGTGTGTGTGTGTGTGTGTGTGTGTGTGTATATATATCTTAACACCCAGCAGAGTTCACCCTCCCTGCCCCTTCTTGGTCAACATCAACTGTGACAACAGTTCTATTTGCTAAATGTCCAGAAATGCTGTTACTTTCCTGACTGGATCTATGTTGTGCACATGTCTCTCTGTGTGTTCGCAGGTCATACTTACAGTGAGGTGAGTGATCGAAGGCCGCTGAAAGCATCTGCGGCAATGTCAGAAATCTGGTTCTTACTCAAGTCACTGGGGGAAAAAAAGAGAGAGACAGATAAGTGCATTACTGTAATACACAGTAATGGGGCCCTTTCTGTGTAAATGTCCTGCCTGAAAAATGATCATGAGAGGATACATCAGCAGAGGTCAAGGCAAGGGGACAGGGGAAAAAAAGTAGAAGGTGCTGAATGTGTAAGTGAATGAGTGACAGAGTGATAGACAGGGTGAGGATTTAAGTGAAGTGATAGAAAGAGCAAAAGAGAGAAACTATGAGAGGCGACATGTTAAGTGCAGTTCATGTCATTTGCTTCCACTGGTGAAAGATATATTATTTAACAGTTCTGTCGTGGTTAAAACTCCGTGTGTGTGTGTGTGTGTATCTGGGTGTATGGCTGAGTAGGTGGGTGCGGTGAAATATATATTATTTAACAGTTCTGTTGCGGTTAAAACTCCACGTGTGTGTGTGTGTGTGTGTGTGTCTGGGTGTATGGCTGAGTAGGTGGGTGGATAACCTTACAACCTTGCACAAATCTGCAAGTCTAGTATCCTCAGGCATTTGCATGATAAGAACATTTTTCACAAGTGAGCCTTATGTTTGTGGATGTGTATGAATGAGACAAGAAGAAATGAACAGTGTGTGTGTGCGTGCTGTTTTAAACTTTATTAGACACATGATCTCCTTTTTGAACACACTATTTGAAATGTTATAGACACCAATTACAGATTATTTGCACTGTTCTCAATTGAAATCATTTTCTGCTCCTGTTGTAGATGAAGGTTTGCTAAATACTAATACAGGAAAATATGATAATCCCATAAATTTAAATCCATATTTTGTTAAACCTGCAGTTCTTTTCATTGCTTCAGTTCATAGATGTATTTTCACCTCCTCCTATGCACTGACAGCATTCCCAAGATGTAAAAGTAAGCTAATGTGACCCTTAAAGCGTAAATTTTTGTTACTTCTAAAAGATCTAGTGAGAATTTTAAACTTTTTTGCACATTTTTAAATTTTAATTTAGGAAGCAAAGTAGGCTGATCACAGCTGCAATAAACAAATATTATTGAAGCTCTAGACAGAAATCAGTTCACTCCAGCTGTATTTAGTGATTTGTTTAAAGCCTTTGAAACAGTTCATCATGTTTTGCTAAAGCTAAGGCTGATTAACATATAAAGGTCTGAAAAAGCAATATGTCTAAAAATTGTCCCAGACAGGACAAGTCAGTGTGTAAAAGTTATTGGCCTCTTCTTATGTTGGATTGCTATACATATCCTTGGAGTGCCCCAAGGTTCTATACTGGGTCTTGCTATATTCTCCTCACATACTGTAAATGACTTAAGAGTGAATACAGATGCAACAGTTGTTGTACCAGACTTCAGTGGGACTTATCTGGTTAAATGCAGGTTAGGCTTGTGGTGCCACTACAAGATTTTTGCTAAGGTCTTAATGTGACTTAAGCCTTGGTTGTGCATATGTTTGTATGTACATTAGTGTGCATGTATGTGTGTGTGTGCAAGTGTCTATTAAGTTTTATCCAGGCAGACTTACATCCTCTTGAGCTTCTTATAGGCAGTAAAGGCTCCTGCGGGGACACTTTTAATCAGGTTCTGCTCCAAGCGACTGGACAAAAGGGGGAAAAAATAAGAGAGAAGGAGAGAAATGGGAGAAGAGCACATTACTCCTAAACATGCAATGTTATATTTGAATGCAACTTCAACAATAGGATGTCATGCATAACATTACACTGCTAGTTCTTTCAATATTGAATTGTTAATTGGTTATCATGAAATCCTGTTTACCCATCAACATCAGCCAAACACAAGTGCACCAGAAGTTCAGAGGTGTCTGTTCCAGTCAACACCTACACACTATTTCTGCAGGCTGGTCAGTGCTTTGCAACAGGGGCTGGCCAAGGTCATTCAGTGCGAAACATTGACTTGGATTTTGCAGCTCAGCAGCAATGAGCTTACTCGGGAATAGCCCTTTGATTCTGCTGCAGATGGCAATCACTCTCTGCTGTATGCTACTATATATACAGTAGAGAAAAGTATTTAAATATTTCCAAGGGCAAGGTACTGTATGTCAACTAGCTATGGTAACTGGCCACAGTATATCAAACCCGCTGGCACTCAACCACAGTGAAATACAGGTTTTAGTCTACAAACTGAACAAGAAGAGATAACTGGCAACAATACATGAACAATTATCACTGTTCAATCATCATTTGTAATATTTATGTGACTTTAGCTTAAGTTCCTGTGATGAAGCCTCAATTCTTTTTGCTTTAGATGCAGCCGGACTGTATTTATGAACACAATTCTTGGTTCTTCAATTTTTTTTAAGGCTAAGGGCCAAAGGGAATTTATTGCATCGCTTTATCTGGAAGACTGCAGAGTCATTACACCATTCTGGTAGTATTACTCTATTATCATGTGGGGAGCCATCAGAACTAGGAAAGCAGCCCACATTTGGGAAAATGTACTCTAGTTTAGTTTCTGCTCTCCTGATGGTCTAGGAAACAATTTAATCTATGTAGCTCATGCATTCTTCATGTATTTCTGTTGCTGCGGTAAGAAGGAGGCAAATGAGGAGGAGAGAAGAATGAAATGTTAGAGAAGTGTTGCACAAAATTAGACAAAAGGAAAGGCAGAAAGGGAGAGGACATAAGGTGAGAGAATAGGGGAGTGGGAAAGGAGGACAACAAAGGAGAAATCAGAGGAGTGGAAAAGTATGAGCAACAAGGAAGAAGAAAAGAAAAATCAGAGGAGAAGAGGAGGATATAGTGAGGTCCCAAGGCCAGCCACAGGGTCAGCTGTCAGAATGATAAATGGGAACTAATCCACCCTCCTTCTACCTCTCCTCTTCTTTCCTTTTCTTTTGCCCCTGCCTCCACCATCCATCCCTCACCAATCCCCTGGTAGCTGTTAATCCGTGACTTCTACTCAATAACAATGTTTTTAAATGAAACGTTTACATAGTCCTGGCTGTGAACACAAGACAACCTTGACAGGTGCCTGCTTCTTGGCTTGGGGCCCTCTGTATATTTTCACATTTTACATGGTTGGCAGCCACCAACACCTTATTTAAACTGAGGGGTGAAGCGAAATCAAGAATGTACAGATACTGACAAAGACAATTTGCACACACAACAAATTACAAATTATATCGGGGGCAGTAAAACAAGGTGGAGACAAAGACAATTAACAGCTCAATATCAAAGGATGTAGTTAAGGGAAGACATTTTAGGAGGCTATATAAAAAAAAATCAATAAGGTGAGGAGGCAAGTGAACAACAACTGAAACAGCAGATGGGTTTGGCAAGTAAGCACGTGCATGATGCACGATGCATGAATACACATACGCACTGTTAGAGAATCTCAACAAAACATCATTCTTTACACCATTTCCTGATGTAATGAAGTTAAATCCCTTAACACAAACCTGCTTTGCTCATTTGCTTTATGAATATATTTGCCTTGAAGAGAAATTAAAAACAGACACTTGCAATTTAACACACAGATACTGTGTGTGTGAGAACACCCAAACACATTTGGCAGTGATCCTTGAGACCAGCATGCAGAAAAATGACTTTATCCCTGTTGGAGGACTGATCATTCTATTATAACACAGAATTCACTAGGTATGTTTTGGTGCCTGGGGCTCGATGAAAATGCATACGTGAGTGTGGTTGACCCTCCCATAAGAGGCATAAGGCATAAGAATGCATTTGTGACCAAGTATGTTTGTGCAAACAAAACTGTTGTGTCTGCATATTCGTGTGCATTGGTGTGTGTGTGAATGTGATTACTTATGCTGGGGAGGTATAGAGGTGTTGTAGTAGTGTTGTGTGGGAGAATTGCTCCTTTACTCAGAGCAATCAACCAGCTGTCCTTTGTACAAACAAACAGGGTACAGCGATCAATACGGATATCAAACACATCCCACTGTGGGTGTGTGTGTGTTTAAATGTATGTGCAAAAGATATAAACAGAGAGGAAGAGCGACTGAGGAGACAAAGTGTATGAGTGTGTAAAAGTTTCCCTGCAATCTTAAACAGATTACCACTTCAAAGCTTAAAGAGTGACACAGTTTAGGTCACTTATGTTCTGGTGCATCAAGGTGAATCCACCACCTGCCTGGTAGGCCGACATGGCCACATGGAGCATGTTCGAAATACTGTAACTGTCACTTTTATTCTCCTTTGAGCTTATAAATAGTTTATAAGTGGCTATTGCTAGCCTTTGCAGCTTCACAAATATGTCCAAGTGATGGCTTTCTCTCATTCAGACATACAGTAGGTCACTTTTACATTAATGTGCCTCACGGCTTTATTCGGGCATAACCACAACAGTAATGGAGAAAGCCACAGTGCATTTGCAATATTGGCCATACATGTGAGAATGGACGGTACATCAAGTGATGTATAATGTATGAGGCCAGAGTTTTCTTACAACATGGTGGACGACTGTGAGTGTGTTCTAGGAAATATTTTGTTCTCAAGTTATTGCTGTTCTCTAGAACAGTCAGGATTTTAGTGAGCAGAGCATTGCAGAGACAGGCATGAGAGACACGCACAGACACCTACACTGTCGTGATTGGTAGGTCCAATATACTGCATGTAATCTTCTGCATTCCTATCAGTTAAAATGCAACTTGTGCCAGGTTAAAAGTGATATTGCATGTAAATGGCACTAGGCCCAATGTTGTAAGATGCAGTAATGATTCATTTAGACATGATGTTGACATGTTCAGATGTTGTCAGATTAATGGAAAGCAGTGCATGTCTGAAAGGTGCATGTGAAGTGCACCAGCACATGATTTTGGTATGCATAAGCCAAAGAACTTAACGGCACAGAGGGTATAATTTGGACTATGTGAATACTGACTAGAACTGAAATAAATAAATAAAAATTGACATAATGAGCAAAAATAATAGACGTAAAAGTGAATGTAGGAATGATAAGAAATAAGTGCATTTAAACCTGACAATACATACAATAAATTAATAAGTGAAAAATGTGGGTTTTTTTAATAAGTCAACTGCCACAACACTGAATACATTCTGGACATGAACACAGCAACATTAAAGGGACTGTCTTACATCTCCATGATCCCTTCGGGGAGGTTGCCAGGTATTTCAGTGAGACCTTTACGACGGCAGTCTACTATGTTGTTGTTACAGCTGCAGCTTGGTGGGCAAATGGCCACCTGAGGAACGCATGTCCTCGACTCTGTCTGTGCTGGACCTGTAGACAGCAATATGCAAATATACAGTAAACAGTAGCAGATTCTGGAAAAACTGGACAGAAATAAGGTTTTTATATAGTAATGTATTTCTTAATAAATGTAAATTAACTTTCCGCATCTGCATTTTTTTTAAAACCACTGCCAATATTGTTTTTTTTTACTTTTTAAAATGAAATTTTATTCTTATAATATTGGTTATTCATTCAGTGACTACTTTTAATGTCCCATGATGGTACTCTGCTGTTTCAGAATCTTTTGCATGCTGGCAAGAATTAAATTCTTTGGGGAAATGTGCAATTTTTATTTGCATGGAACTGGAAAAAGTTACATAAACTGAATATTAGTAACAGATACTATCTAGCCCCAAAATATTGCTAGATATTAGCAGTAGAACAAGTAAGGAAAAATGAGTATGGTAGGAACACAGGGAGGAAAACAAATGAAAGAAGGGTAGAAATAGACTGAATATTGAAACAGAAGGGAATCATGGAAAAGGGAGGGAAGAAAAGTCTAAGCAAGTGTGTTATTGACTTAAACTATATAATAGAGGGGGCGGGGGGTTGACAAAAGTGTATTAAGAGGAGAGCTAGTTTGGGGTATGTAGGCAGAAAAAATGAAGCTAAGAGCTAATAAAGAGAGAGCTGTTTGACAGTCTATTAGCACAGAGAGCTGAATCAGAGGGCTATAAACATTAGCTATACTATCTGCAACTGATAACACTACTGCTCTTATACTGGCCTTTTAGCTGATGATATGTTCTACATAGTAATTCATTCAGTGATAAAAACTTAGTGCTGAGCTGTCTGGACATGATAACGATACTGCTTGTAATAATAGACTTAGGTCTAAGAGTCAACTGTCAGCAGCACTAAATTCAACGTCTACTTGACTCCACTCCCTAAATAATGTATTACAGTATTCATAACAGCATCGTTAAATAGTTCTAGGTCAAATTTGTGTCAACTGTAAAGTGAAACATTACTTTACAGGCTTGACTGCACTCTTTCTGTAGTTCATGTGTCAATACTTTTTATGATATTCTTTCCCAAAGTCAATGAAAAAAAGTTAAGTGAAACTAAACACTTGCAAAGTGGGACTTTGTTTTTAACACCTGTGATAATACTGGATGTCACAGGAAGTAGTAAATGTTCTTCAGGGGTTTCTTCAGCTGAGTTGAAGCTCTGTAATATTTTAATAGAATTTCATGTGTGTAGATATGAGCTCACCATTGCAGACAAAATCCTTCTTCTGCACGTCTGGGACATTGAGACCCCTCATGTGGGCGGGGGCCATGCACTGGGTGAAGGGAGCCAAGCCCCGCCTGGCTCTGAGCCAGTCAGAAAGCCAGGACAGGTGACAGTCACAGTGGAGGTTGTTGGAGTGCAAACGCCTGAGAAAGATGGAGAAAGATGATGTATATATTTTTGTGTGTGTATTTAAATACAGTTCAAATCGAATCTCTTCAAATTAAGACCTAAAACAAGAACAATTAGCATGCTAAGCTCTTATTATCCTACCTGCATGTGCTACGTTCATTTTCTAGATGTTGAAAAAGTCTGTGAATGTAGTTGAGTGTGCATTCAAATAGGGTTGATTTTTCACACAGCTCATACCCTTGGCTAGGATCATATAAGATTGCTTAGGTGAAACACACACACAAACAGGCACTTACACACAAACACACAGAGTAATATCCTCAGGTCTTACTTCTCCAAGGTCTGTGACAATATGACTCCCTTTAGAGGGAGGACAAATGCAAGTAAATCACATCTATTCAGAAAGACAGAAGCAGAAGGACAGAGACAGAAGTGTGAATGAAGAAGATTCTAACTGGAAAAAGACAGATTGAAAAGAGAGAAGGAAATATTCACAAATGAAGTGGGTGTAAAAGCCAAAAGCAAGAAAGAGGAAATAAATGTAAATCAAAATATGACCAAGAAAAGAAAATATGTCAAATAAATGAATTAAGAGAAATGTGTTTTATTTCTTTTGATAACAGTTTTATTACTTTGGCTTGATTTTATAGTGGCTGACACTATAAAAGGGAACATTTTCGATTCCTAGACCAATGCTGTAGAAACCCAGATGAAGATATTTTAAAGGGTCAGTTAATCAAAAATATAAAAAGACATATTTTTTACATGCCTTTGGTGGTATCTACATTTACATTTATACATTTAGTTTTGGCTTTATGTTACCACATTTTCATATACCTGTCTATGAGAGCTTCTACTCTACTCCAGTATTGAAATGAAATTTAGTTCATGCTGATCACAGCATGGCAAACTCAGGATGTTCAACATTAAACTTTAAACAACAGCAGTTTATGTGGGGACTATTTTTTACTAGAAAATACTGTAAAAGCCAAACTTACAGTGAGGTCTAATGATCACACTGGGAATTGTTTTAGAAAATGGATACTACTGGATTTGCAATGTAATTTTTCATAATTGTGACTGACAAAACAAAAACTCATTTACCTAAATTGTAATCGAGTGGAGGGAGAAATCTCTGTGACATCAGTGAATCCCATTTTTACACAAGAGGCTGATGGGAAATTAAAATAACATCCTAATCCCATTAACTTATAATTTAAGTAAAATTTGTGCTGAACAGTCTTTACTAATTTCAGTTGTAGAATTAATTAAAAGCTACTGCTCAGTATAGAAGGCTTCAGCTGAGCTTTCACGGAGCTGAGATTCTGCCGGCAACACTGGCTGGATTAACACCTTGAGAAAGAGAGAGATGAGGAGGAGGAGGAAGGCGGATGAACGGCAGAATGTCTTGTCAGCATATTATATGCCAGCCGTGATATCTAGCCTTTCAGAAGACAGGTCTCGCTTTGTAATAAAGCAGAGGACAAATCCTGTTATGGAACAGAGATGGGCTCATTGATGCTAGCAGCAAGGGCAGTAGGTTTTAATACCTCTCACCCATTATAAATCCAGTTTATAGTCAAACCCCCCGCCTGGAGATAGCTACATCCTGGCCCACCCCCAGCTCAACCTTAATTACTGACAAGTAGGATTAAAACACAAGGGAGAATGGGAACAGGCAGGGGGCATAGAGAAAGTGCTGCTTATGTGTGTGTATGTATGGAATGTATTTGTGTGTAAGTGTAAGGCAGTGACAGTGGTTGTTGTGCTTATTGGTTGCAGGTGAATAAGGTATGGTGGACCTGACAGCTCAGTGCACTGCAGCTTCAGAAAGCACGTGCAAATAGACAGAGCTCTCAGGGCCACTGTGTAAGAGTCTGTGAATGTTTGTGTATGTGTGTCTGTCTATGTGTGTTTATTTACAGTATTTGCTCCAGAGGGCTAATGGGCACGCCTTTGCTACAGTGAGTTACACAAACACACACACACACACACACACACACACACACACACACACACACACACAAGCAGTGGGAGTTCTAATCTTCTCGGTGGCTCAAGTTTTTGGACAAGAGGCACTGTGAGATGATATTGTATCATTACAGCTAACAGAGTAGATGGATACTACAGCAATAGAAGGAATACGAAGGAATAACAGAGAAAGAATGTTATAAAAAGAATAGAATGAATTGCCTCATGCTATAGATGTAATGTAGAAGAAATCACAGATTAAGGTGACATAAGAAGTGACATACACACAACCAGCTGCACACACATCTTCCCCCATTAGGCAGGGCAAGTTTATTTATATAGCACATTTTGTGCACAAGGGCAATTCAAGGTGCTTAACACAATGCACACAAATAGATAAAACATCTCTAATCAAATCAGGGAGATTGATAAACATTTGATCGAATTAGTAATTTTTATAAAAGCAGGAAATTCAGTCCTGGGATCTGAGGGCAGTGAAAGAGAACAGACAAAATTTAAAGCAGAGGAGGTGGCAATAAGGGGGAGGATGAAGAGGAAGTGTATAAGAAGGGGCAGAGAGGAAGAGGAGGATAGAGGAGGATGGGCTGGGATATGAACACCCTACCGCAAAGACATAAGAAAGAGTGGAAAGAAGGGAAAAAATAAGATAGGAGGGAGCTGCAGAGTCAGGTGAAGAAGAGGTAGGAAAGAAAGAAGAAGCAGTAACAGGAAGTGGTACCAGAAGGAGAACACAAAGGAAGAATGAAGTGGGTGAAGGAATATCAGAAAAAAAATGAAAGAGCAAATAGATCATTTATGTTAGAAGAGGCAGAAGAAAAATTAAAGATGGGACAAAGTAAGAAAGATGCAGAAAATAAAAAAGCAAAAAGGCAGATATATGAATGGGGAAACACTGATGAGGAGAGAAAAAAAGGGAAAAGGGAGATTGGGGAAATCAGAGGAGACAGTCACGCAGTGTTGACAGAAAATGGAAGCAGATGAGGGCTTCTGATTAAAAGATACTGGATATTGGTACTCAATCTACTGGCAAGTATGCAGCTGTGCTGCTGACTGAAATCCAATTTTAAAAGGTTGATCTGAGCTGTATTGCCAGTAGAGTAGTAGCAACATGCAGGAAATATACTGTGGAAACATTCATTGCCAAGTGATTGGCTGTTTTGACGACCACTGTTGGTCAAAAGTTGAACCAAAAAAAAAAAGGTTGTAAAAGATAAATGACCCTCTGTTATCCTGCTTGTGTTTAGCTGTGTTGTGTATTTAGAAATCCCCATTTCTGAATGTTAAGTAGGACTGCATGACCCCACAAGTGCCTCTTAAAAATGGTGATTTGGGGAGGAAATCCCATTTAATACATGCTGGTTTGGCGGAATTCAATCCCAGTGTGGCCAACAGGAATGCAACCAATGGTCTGTCTCTAAGACAGTCCCACAGGATTATGGGTAGTTTCCCTTGAAATGTCATGCCATCGCCTTGGCAACTCTATGATCTCCTGCACACAACTAAGTACAGAGAAGAACACAAGAAGACACATACACGCATACAGTAAATCCCCCCCAAAAAATCATTCAGCGAGGATGATTAGATGTTGGATCACAACCCTGTGTGTGTGTGTGTGTGTGTGTGTATTGCAGTGTCTGCACTCACATCAATAACAACAGTATAAGGGGGTTTCTCCTAATGAATCAAAACAGACTCCAGAGTGTAAACAAGCCTTTTTGATTGTATTAATCAGGTTACCATTAATCAAGTGTGTGCGGTGCATGCACATGTTTGCCACTGTGTGTGTGCCTGTGTGTCTACGTGTGTGTGCATGTGTACATAATAGCCACAAGATTATTCACAGTCATGAAACAATAGAAAAGCGGGTCTCTTATTATGGCATGATTAGATGATCACACACAGATCCTGCTGCCATGCAGTGTGTGTCTGTGGTGTGTGTGTATCACAGTGAACATTACTTATGTGTGCACATTAATCTCTGTGCATGTGTATGTGTTAAAGTGTAACCACAGAGTGCATATGTGTGAGCCTCTGTAAGAGGTTTTCTATAAGTGTGTGGGATTGTTTGTTATACTCACAGTGTCCGCAGTTTGGGCATGTGGTTGAAGCTGGACAGGGGGATGAGGGTGATGTTGTTGTTGTTGAGGGTGCTGGACAGATAAAAGAGGGAGAGAGGGAGAGAAATGGAGGAGGAGAAGAGGAAAGCAGACTGTTAGAAAGGTTCGACCGTGCCACACACTGTTTCTGGTGGCTTAAACTGTGCACAAGTCAAATTAAACTCTATCCAATACACAGGCTGGAATCCTTGTTATCTTTTCCAAACTTTCACAAAGAAAACATTTTAAAAATGGCCATAGACCTGCAGGATTGGTGATTTTTGTTCTATAGTCCTACTTGATTAAGTAGGTGGTTTCCAACTGATGGGTTGCAAAATACTGTAGATGATATACCAACCTTTTGTCTTTTATTTTTTATAGTTTACTACTTTCTTGTGAAACAATGGATTGTTTTTTCTCTTCAGGTTTCTAAAAAATATGCTCATTATGTAATGTGAGAAGAAAATAATGTTCATTGTGTTGGTTATTACATATTGAACCTATGATAAGGATTTACAAGTAGACATAAAAAATAAACAAAAATAACCAATAAGAACAAACCTAATAAGATTGTTTATATGTCTAGTAAGATTGCAGGTAAACAGAATCACATGACAGTGCTTTGTCAGTCCTGAGCGTTGCAGAAGGCCTGGGCAATTATTAGGGACATGTCACATCCTTTGCATAGTGAATATGAGCAGTTACCTTCAAGACAAAGGTACAGGCTGCTGGTGCTGCGGGCTGCACGTGTCCACAGATCTTTTATACCCTCCAGTATAAAACTGCTGAACAATGATGGTTTACTGCAGTTTACAGTGATCTGGGTGGTGTTTGTATGGGGTGTGTATGCTCATCTGTGTTGTGTTGATGTGTAATGTACTTGCCTGACAATTGCCACAGACACAAAAAGAATTTCCAAAAGGACAATAAATTGATATTAAAAAAGTTTAGCAACCACTGTTCTCCTGATATATGTTACAGAATATTGTAAATGACTGTCCACTTACAAATTACAATTAAATTAATTACAAATTAATTGTTAAACTAAATGAAATGAATGATTTTTCTTTTCCTGTAGTTTTGCAGCAAAAAAAGCAACTATTGCACAATTTCTTCATTAAAGCTGTACATTACTTTTCATGGTAGAAGAATGAACTTTTATTGTTTATTTCAGCGAATTGGATGCAGTTGTGTACCGGAAAACAGGCTGGAACAAAATCTTATGACCACAGCAAACAATAAATTTATTATATTTATTAAAAACAGAAGCTATTGTGCTGAACAAAAAAGTTCCTTGCTTTTCCTAAGGGTTAAGGATGGAGTGTTTGCATGATGTAGACCTGGTAAAGCTCACTAGAACAGCTTCTGTAATTCTGGGTTATGTAAATAAAATTTTTTATTTGAAATGAACAACTGCATAACACTACATTCTCAAGTTCGAACATTCTGCCCAAGGTGATGTTATTGTGCCAAGGCATAACATAGTGTTTTCACTCATTATTTATTAAAACACACATATTTATGAACACAGACACCCTTGATGTGTGCTTCTTCCGTCTCTAACTCATAAAGCATGTCACTGCTGTTTCTAACTATGTTCTCTCATAAACTACACTCTGTCTCATATGTAGTATCGACCTAAGGTGAAATGAAAAACAAGGCTGACTGTCATTACAACCAAACTCTCTCTCTCTCACACACACACACACGCATACACACACACACACAATCCAACTCAGTGTTGAAGAAATACAACGCCTATTGATCCTTTGTGGTTTTCATGTACAGAAATGGAAACAGAAATCAGAGCAGAGGGGGAAAAGTACAGAAAAGATGCTATTCCATCAAAGCAATCCACAGGGGATCAGACTGCACTGTCAGACTGGTACAAGCTGGTAAAGCTGCATATACAAAACAAAATAAATCAGAACAAAAGCGGGTCCCTCGTGCGCTTAGAAATTACATTACAGCAGAACACAAGACTGGCAAAGATGTACAATTCACATTATAAGTTCATAATGAATATGTGACAGTAGAGCAGATACTTTATGATTTTTATTGATTTTCACTAAAATCCTTGATGCTTTTTTAAAAAGTATCTGTTTAGTTTAAACAAGTTTTCACCCAGATTTTATGTCCCCACATGTTATGTTTGCTGATGCTGCTCTACAGCTCTAACAAAATTTACAGTTCAGAAATTGCTTGCAGCGTTAGAAAATAAAGCACACTGGAAGATGCAAATGAACTCATCATGCACTGGTGTACCAGTAATTGGATTTAAAAAAAAAGGATGCGTTTTCAGCCAGATGTTTTTATTATTGATTTTATTTTATAATTAAAATAAAGAAATAAATCAGCAGATTGATTTGAGGAGAAAATCAACAATTTACAGAAAAAGACCACTGAAAACACGTAACTGAGAGAGTTGTTTTGCATTAGTAATCTAGGGATTTACCAAAATTTATAATACAGTGAAATTTTTCTGGTTGCTTGTGGGAGACAACACGGATCATTAATATCACTGGGTGGAAAATAGGACTAGTTTCCATATCACCCGAAACTTTGTGCGTTTAAAAAGTCATTGTTTCGGGAAGAATGAAGACTGAGTGGTCATTTTTTTTATCTGAAACCCATTAATTTTCCACATTGTGCTCTAATGCTTTCAAACAAGGACAAAGTCAGCTTTCTTTCTGAAAAAATTACTATTTCAAGATGAAAGGACTTTTTTATAGCAGGCGCAATATGTTTGTGCCTAAACATACAGTGTGACCACAGTGAAATTTGCTGACAAAAATCAAGGATGGTTTGTTTTACGTACTGTCGTCACAACTGTTCAAAACAGGCTCAATACCAGGGGTTTGCTGTGTTTGTACTAACACCCACACGCCCCTAAAATAGCCTGGTTTTCCTTCAGTCTGTTGATGTTACTACTTTTCTTTCTTTAATTCTCTCTCCTTCTGATTCCCTTTCTACCTTCTCCTCCCTGCCAGTATAGCCTCAGTGGCCTTGGTAGACGGATAAAGTTTCACACTCCCTCTCACATACACACACGCATCAGGAGTGCTGCTATGGTCAGCCCTGTCAGGGGTGATTCCACTCAGTATATATAATTTAATTGTGGAATAACAATAATTTCCCTCAGCAATTTCCCTGTCAGTTTTTCTCCCACTCACTCCGTTTAACCCCCCTTCACATCCCTCTGTCTTAATAAAGTAGCGACTGGACTGACTTAAGCCAAGATAAACACTAAAGACAACATTTAGAGATCCACAACTATGTTTTATATTGTATCTGTTTTTCCGCCCATTTTATTTTACACACCTCCCAGCCATGGTTGTGCTCTAACGCCCAGTTCAGACTATATGATTTGAATCCAATAACAGCCTGACATAATGGACGTAGGGCATCGGAAGTGACATATGGCGTCAGACACAACAATCGATCGTTTTATCTTGGATAGTGTGTCAGAATTTTTTTCAACGTCTACAATGAGGTAGGGCAACGTAGGACCACAGCTGGCTCTTCTGTTCACAATGCTTTGGGCATATTGGACTGAACCATATTCATTAAATATCACAGTCATACAGCTAACGTTAGCATAGTGACTTTTGCAGTGAAGTGGCTACTCTATCAGGGCTAGCTAGCAAATTTTTGGTTTTACTACTGGCTTAAAACATTTATTTTTAACTGCTACTTCAAGTTCTCCATGAAGCAGAGATAACACGGGCTGCTGTGCTCTTTGTGCAACCCACAGACAGGTTGACGGTTGCCCCCCACCCTTTATATGCTTTTCCAAACACAAGCAGCCAGTATCACACACTCTTCTCCCAGTCCCTGGCACCTCCAGGTCGTGAACAACGTCAGGCTGTGATTTGTCAGGTATCAGCGTGTAGTCTGTCATAATCTTTGACTCTATAATTGTGTAATCTGACATAGTGGCCATCGTATCAGACAAACAAATCATGTAGTCTGAACCCGGCTTTAAAAAAAAATCAAAGATAGACTTGGATTTTAAGTGCTTGCTAAAAAAAAGTGCATTTTGGCAAAACTAAAATTGCTATAGGAAGCTCACCCTTGAATTTAACTAGGATTTAGAGAATATATAAATGACAGAGGATCTTGAACTAAAGCATTGTGAGAAGGGAATTGGGAAACCAACATAATACTGTACACGTGTGATGGTCTACACTTGACTCAAGTCTTTGGTTTTACAGTGCAAAGTATCTGATTGATCCAGACTTTCCAGTGGTTCTGCACTCCACCTTATGCCTGTCTAAACTTTATAACCCTGCAGCCCTGACAGATCCCAACGCACCATACTGAAGTCCACCACAAAATCACACAGTGCAAACCCGGAACTTTGGCCATGTGGTCATGATCCCATTTATTAATGTTTCACAACTGAAATGGTATATGGTTAGGAAAATACTTTGTGTATTAGCATCCTGTGCTGTAGCTGTTTCCAAAGCGGCATTATACTTTGCTTTGCTTTTTCCCACTTGGCCTTTCACTTTTCTGTTTTATGGCTGATTTCAGGACTGATGTTATAGTTAATGTTGCTTCATATCCCTACAGGGTGTGGAGGTACAGGCTTAAGGATAGTGCTTCAAATGATTTATAGGTTAAATAACCTGCTTAAAAACACAAAGATTTCTAGATGCACTGTATACTATCTTAATTTTTTCTCCCCAGGTGGATCTAAAGAAATTGCCAGTATTTCTATCCAGTGAGTAAAGGTATTGCAGACTCTATTTTCTTACAATTATTTTTAAAATTAGTAGTTTATTAAAACAAAAATTCCTTCCTTCATACAAGTTTTACTACAGATTTAGGCCATGTATAAGGCCAACATTTTACTGGAAGCTTGCTGCCTCGCAGATGAATTAATAGAGAAAAGCCTATGTTTTTGCACTCACACTAAAAGAGAGCTCAAGGGCTGGTTTCAACACTGTGACACACAATGTTTCTATTACAAAATGCCTATTCAGCTCTATTTTTTCTTTTTTTTTTTGAGACATGGTGCAGTGACCGCTGTAGTGCAGGATAGCTCCGTG